CCTTGTCATCAAATCTTGCCTTTGAAACCAGGCAAAGCAGGAACGCGGCTCCCCAGGCCCTGGACACGCAGAGCAGTGAACCTCCTCCAGTGTCACCGACCCACGGTTGTGTGCGGGGCTGTCTTGAAACAAGGGATGTCCGGCACCGGTTTCCCTTCAGTTGTTACAACCCTCCCTGGGAGCTGCCTGGGGACTCCTTGGGGACAGAGGGATTGTAGCGCATGGACAGACTCTGTTCCCCTCGGACAGAGCCCACATGACATGCTCTGGAGGGCAGGCCCTGCTCACGGGATCTGCCACGAGCAGCCGCTTCCCCCAGCCGATGCTCCGGGCACATTGCACAAGTCTCAGTAATGCGCATTGCATTGGTGCCGGGGGCTTCAGGGCTAACGCTGGGTCCAGAGGAGACGTGGTGGCACCGACCGAGTCCAGGGAGCACGGCCAGGACCTCCTTTTGTATCTGAGCCCCTCCTTCCCTGTCTCTGTCCAGGCCTGGCTACTAAATGCTGTGCTGCGCTGGTCCTGGATTAATGCTGCTCTTTCTGAGGCATCTCCCTGTAGCTGTAGCAGTAGCTGTACTGCTGGGCTGTGGTACTTCAGGACTGGTGTCTCACTTCAGAGTTTCTTCATTTCAGTGCCCAGAGACCAGACCTGTGTCTTGTCCGGCCCAGCTGCCTAAGACTGGCTGGCACTCTGCACTGTCGACCGCGGTGGATTCAAGGCCGTGTTATTTTCTGTTCAGTGCATGTCCCTGACAGTCTGCACTTCCCACTGGTTGCAGTGTTGCCTTGTGGCACCTTCCTAGGACCGGCTCCATTTTTCTATGTGCTCTTCCTGCTGGGCAGGAGCTGGCTCCACAATCCAGCTGGAAACTGGCTGCTTGCTGCTCCAGCTGTGTTAAGCACACACTATTCGGTGCTGCGTCCAGGCAAGGGTGCGCTGTACTGGGAGCTGCTGGTCCAGCCTGAGAACGTGGACTTCCCTGGTGTCATGCTCACAGCGCACCCTCGAGCAGCCCTCTCGGTTATGGTGGGGGGAAGAGACTCCAGCTTCTCCCCTCCAAGGA